ATGGGAACCTTCCATAAGCCAGTAGGCAGAAGAAGTGGAGACATAATCTGCATGTTTGTGGGAGTCTAACCAATCCCAGGTTTGGAGGCCCTGGTAAAGTGGTAGAGCAGCCTATAAATATGGAATAGTCAGGCCAGCTGAGGAGTCGGGTGGAAGATGGAGTGCTAAGAAGACTGTTGGTGCCCTTGGAGGGGTCCCCTAGGTCTGGGGGAAGGGGAGGGGGCTGGCTTCCAGGCTGAGCTCAAGCTGGCTCAGGAGGATCCATTCAGCAATACGGCATGGACATGATCAAGGCTTGGGAGCAGTTGGAGCAAAGAGGACAGAGTGAGTACATCAGCACACCCTGTGATTTACAAGGGAAGAGTATGCCACATGTAGCAAGCCTTCAAAGGACAGCGTTGTGCTTAATCCTTTATCCTTGTCTTGGGAAATCTACAAGCTGTGCAGAGCTTAGGGGTACCAAGAAACACAGTGGCCTTCGTGGTGGTAGTGGCCCCCATAGACCCTCCACTAGAGCCTGGGGCCCGGGGCAGGTGCCTGTTCTGCTATTATAAAATGTCATTAGTAACAGTAAATGAAGTAAGGTCCTCAAACTTTATAAACAAAAGGCCAGTTCAATGTCCTTTAGATTTTAGGGGGTGGACAAATTGTGGCCATTGAAAGTAAAAAATGCCCCTGCATCAGTGGTCATTGAGAGTAAATAATCTCCCTGGCCTGGTGGTGTGTGAGAGTAAAACATGTTCCATGACTGGTGGTCAGTGGGAGTAAAACATGACCTACTGCCTGTGATCAAGGGATGGGGACAGAGAGAGGCATAATGCACATCAATGGTGTCAGTTGAAGGAACAATACCATAATATTGGTGTTAGTGAAAGGAAAGGTGCACTATTGTTGGAATCAGTGGGAAGAATTGTACATCATCAATGGGAGGAATTGAGCCCCATTGTTGGTGTCAGTTGGAGGAATTGAGCTCTATTCTTGGAATCAGTGGGAGGAACAGTGCCCCAATAATGTATCCCATCACTGGTATCAATTGGAAGAACAGTGCCTTGAAGGTCAGGTAAGGCAACCAAAGGACTGCATTTGGCTCGCACTCCTCAGTTTGGGGACCACTGCTTCTGATTCCAAAACTGACTATACTGCCAAGGTACATGCACCCGTGATCATCTTCAAAGCATTCCCTGGTAAGCTGTTGGACTCCAATCTGGTCTGTACATCGGTACTTGACTGCCCAAGTTGGCACTAAGCACGCCCACTCCGGACACATGGCTTGCCCCACCATTCACCAGTTCAGTGTCTCTAATACACACAGGTACTTGTATTGTTTTGTTCATTGCAGTGTTTATCTTCCAATAAAACAGTCTTTATGATCCGGCAAACCTACAATTCATAAAACCTCATATCTCCCAGAATCCATTGATCTCTCATAATTCAATAATGTTATTTACTCCAGCAGTGCAGCGGTTAATGATTTCCCATCGTCCTCTAGCAGTGTAACAAATAATTGTTTTCTGTTCAGCAAAAACAAAGCAAAGTCTGCAATCACAGACTTATTTATAATCCAGAATTAGCAGACTAAAATATTAGCTCTGTAAATTTGCGCAGAAGCAGGCGGCGGCCGTTTCAGGGTAAACATGAAGTAGATGGCCGTTCTCCTGCTGGCACTGAGACTCCCACTGGCACATAAATGTGGTTTTATTAGAAAATATTAGTGTTCCCATATTGTATGGATACGTAGAATCATTTGGTGATCATCATGAACAGTTAATATGATGGATATTGCAGTCTTATTTCTACAAGTTGTTTTTTTTTTTTTTTAACTGTGAAATGACAGTGGTAGGGCTTAGCACTAGAGGAGGGGCTGGGTGCACATTTAGGCAACAGCTGAGGCCCTGTGCACATTTGGACCCTGGAATCCACAAGACGGTGTTAGGGCTGGGCTCCTACTACCCAACGAGCAGCTCTTTTCTTTCAGTGCTCAGAAGCTGCCCAGCTGTCAGTTACAGTAATTACCAGCCATTTGTTGTCTCCTCTGTGACTCACCTGTATACCATTACCTCCCTCACTAGTCCAGCCTACAGCCAGGCATTTTTGCTATTTTAGCAGCTTAGCTCATTTCCTCCTTGCCCTTGCGTGGTCTATGATCTCAAGTATGTTATTGCCTGTGTTCCTGTGTACAACTCGGTCTGGCTGGCTTCTCTTCCGATTCCTGTTCCTGACTACCCTGACATTTGGTTTCCTGACCCCCGGCTTGTCTGATTACCCGCTCTGACGTCCAAAACCCTGGCTTCTGTTTTTTACTATGTTCCTGAACTATGTTATTTTTGCTATTTCCATTAAAGGTGTGATTTTAATTTTTTGTCTCCACCTGTTTTATGGTTCCTGACAGGTGGTCAGCTTGACTAGTTTTTTTAGGACGTGTTCTAGGACACTTATTGGGGGAGATTTATTAAAACTGGAGCACTCAAAATCTGGTGCAGCTGTGCGTGGCAGCCAATCAGCTTCTAACTTCAGTTTGTTCATTTAAGTTTTGACAATAAAACCTGAAAGCTGATTGGTTTTTATGCACAGCTGCACCAGATTTTGCACCATGCAATCTTAGTAAACAACCTACATTGTGTATCCATCATTTTTTGCATTGGATTTCATATTGTAAAGTATAAATATCTTAATGCTGATATCTTGTGGTAATCCACCGTAACTACAACTGGTAATTTAATGTCTGTAAAGTGGTACAATCCAGTTACCTGCAGGTTTAGTTTAGTTGACATGCCCTTCAATAGACCCCTCACTTCTTCCTCATGTTCCCTCAGTTAGTTACCAGCCTTCATAGTGAACTTAGATGATCGCTGTCTCTTTACACTTTGATTTGACCCCTGAACATCCCATATGTTGCATTTTAACAAGTAAAACAAAAGTTGGATTAAACCGCCATCCCTTATTGGAGAGCTGAGCTGTCTATGGAGGGCACTAATTCAGCAGATGACCATACTGGCCGGATGGAACGAGGTCTAAGTGGTACCTGAAACAGAACGGGACGTGACAGGTTCACTTTAAAGAGAACACACAAGCAACAGGATTTTATAATGCACCAACATTAAGAAAAATATATTATTATGCCCCCCTCCCCGTGATGAAGGTGGTGTACAGGAGAACAGGAGGAGAGAGCAGAGGACAGGTTTGCAATGACTCAGCAGCTCAGATAAAACTGCTGCTATAAACACATTATGCAGTGCCAGGGTGTTATATAGAAATCGCACCAACAATTGCTATAGGTTACTGTATTTAAAATTGGGAACTGTGAGATATATATATAATATTGGAGGATGGTTTGCTCAGTCCAAATTGTGGTTTAAGGCTCCATTCACACTTGTGCGACTTGTCATGCAACTTTGTACACATAAAGTTGCCCCCCATCATTTTCAATGGCACCCGTTTACAATCTATATGACTTAAAGTTGAAGCGACTTTGAAAATGTTCCTGCACTGCTTTGATGCGACTTTATGCTAGAGAGTGTAAAGTCGGATCAAAGTTGCTCTCAAACTTGCACTCCAAAGTTGCACTGGAAATCGTGCGACTTTGGAGTCACCCAAGTGTGAATAGAGCCTTAAGGTTTACCAGCCCACTTTTATTTAAACAAACCTAAAGAAAAAGTTTGAAACAGAATATTTGCCCATGCAGGGGATTTTCACAAGCAAAAAAAGCTCTGCTGCTTTTTTTCCAAGATCCTTTAGACTCGGTTCTTCTGACCCCCTGAGCCCTCCTGGCTCACTCAACTTTTTAGCTGCAGCAGTCAGCTACATGGGTCCACTCACTGGCCTCTCAATAGGGGATCTCCAGGCACTCTAGGCTCGCTCGGTCCTCCGAGACCTACAGGGTCCCCCAATCCCCTGGACTTGTTTAGTTGCTTCCGCTCTCCCAGTCCTCCAGACTCGCTTACCTCTCCTAATTCTGGAATCTCTCCTCCAACATGGACTGCTGTCTCTTGAGTGGAGCACCTCTCCTAACAGGAGGCTGCCTGTCTCCTGGATGGTGCAAACACCTGTCTCCTGGATGGAGCAAACACCTGTCTCCTGGATGGAGCAAACACCTGTCTCCTGGATGGAGCAAACACCTGTCTCCTGACAGGAGCCCTGCGCTACGCCCAAGCCTATCATTATAAGGGCTTTAAGCTCCCAGACACACACCCTGCTGGTCTTCTGCAAGATCTGGACACTGGGTTGGAGATTTCTTCCTTCCCAAAGCATTGTGAGATCTTCAAGCTACAGTGCCTAATCTTGGAATACCAAAAATGTCAAATCAGCCTCAGTGTTAGCAGGCCTGCTTTTCAGATGTTAACAAAATACCTTTGACCTGAGGTGGTGGCAACCTCAGTGAGCAATAAAAAAAAACTAGCAACAGTAAAACTAGCTCACTTTTCGCCCTCAGAATCTGATGGCAAGGCTTAAATCTGAGATAAAAGAGTGCTTTGACCAGGGTAGTCAATGTCTCTTTAACCTCTTGCCTACAGGGCACTTATACCCTCTTCCTGTCCAGGCCAATTTGCAGTGATGGGCACTGATAAGCTACACTGATGGGCACTGATAGGCAGTACTGATGGGCACTGACGAGGCAGCACTGGTAGGTGGCACTGATGGGCATTGACATGCATCACCGATGGGCACTGATAGGTGGCACTGACTGGCATTGTCAGGTGGCACTGACTGGCACTGTTAGGCAGCACTGATAGGTGGCACTGATGTGCACTGATAGTCGGCACTGACTGGCACTGATAGGCAGCACTGAATGGCACTGATAGGTGGCACTAATTGGCATCACTGATAGGTGGCACTGACTGGTATTGATAGGTGGCACTGAAACATTTTTTCTTAGTTTCTGTTATAAAATTTTGTAAATAAGTGATTTTTCTCCTTCACTGATGTGCTCTAATGAGGCTGCAGTGATGGGCACTGATAGGCTGCACTGATGGGCACTGATGAGGAGGCACTGGTAGGTGGCACGGATGGGCATTGACAGGCATCACCAATGGGCACTGAAAGGCAGCACTCATAAATGGCACTGATAGGCAGCACTGACGGGCACTGACTGGCACTGTTAGGAGGCACTGATGCACACCGATAGTCGGCACTGACTGGCACTGAAAGGCGGCACTGACTGACACTGATAGGCAGTACTGACTGGCACTGATAGGTGGCACTGATTGGCAGCACTGATAGGTGGCACTGACTGGCATTGATAGGTGGTACTGACTGCCACTGATAGGTGACACTGAAAGGCAGCTCAGATGGGCACTGATATGTGGCATTGATGTGCACTGGTAGGCACTGTTATGTGGCACTGATGAGCACTGACAGCTGGCATTGATGGACACTGACAGGTGGCACTGATGGGGCTACACTGATCATCTGTGCACACTGATCATCAGTGCACTGATGATCAGTGTAGATGTCCCCTCTGAGGAATGCCAATTACCGGCTCTCTTCTCACGAGCTGTCAGCGTGACAGCTTGTGAGGAGAGAAATGCTGATAACCGACATTTCCTTATTTACATGCGATCAGCTGTGATTGGACACAGCTGATCACATGACAGAGCAGATGTATTTGGCTCTTTCCGTTGTCCGGTGATCCGCTGTGTCCGAGGGACACAGCGCACCACCGATCGCAACACTGCACGCCCCCGGTTAGAGTGGAAGGATGTTATATGATGTCCTCCCAGAATGAGAGAACCGCCTTACGCCCGTCATTTTCTTATATGGTGGCCGGTTAAATGCAGTGAGAATTCTTCTGCGCGCTTGCTGAGGCCCAGTTAGTGCACAAGTAGGAAGTAATGTACGTAACAGTTCCTTGCAAGAATAACACAAAGGGAAGAAGAAGAAAGGACAAGGACATACCCTTTAAGTGGCACTTGACTTGAGTGTTGTCCCCTTTAATGCACTAAGAAAAGGGCAGCTTTAGGCAAATAAAGTGTCAAACTGGCAATAGGGCTTGTTGGCATAAGGGCAACTCCACTCTGGGCTGCAGTAACCAATGTTCTTCTGGGAAAAGTAATTCTCTGATGAACTGCTCTCCAGTCCTGCGATTCAGCACACAAGGCCCATGGGGCTGCTCTGCAGAATGTGAGTACCACTGAATTTGCAGGACACTGTCACCTTGTGTTTGTTTTAACATCCTGCAGCTGACATTACAGCGAGGTAGTTATATATATATATATATATATATATATATATATACCTTATATTGCCCAAAGTATTGGTCGGCCTGCCTTTACACACACATGAACTTTAATGGCATCCCAGTCTTAGTTCAAAGGGTTCAATATTGAGTTGGCCCGCCCTTTACAGCTTCAACTCTTCTGGGAAGGATGTTTTCCACAAGGTTTAGGAGGGTGTCTACGGGAAGGTTTGACCATTCTTCCAGAAGCGCATTTGTGAGGTCAGGCACTGATGTTGGATGAGAAGGCCTGGCTCACAGTCTCCGCTTTAATTCATTTCAAAGGTGTTCTATTGGGTTGAGGTCAGGACTCCGTGCAGGACAGTCATGTTCCTCCACCCCAAACTCACTCATCCATGTCTTTATGGACCTTGCTTTGTGCACTGGTGCTCAGTCATGTTGGAACAGGAAGGGGCCATCCCCAAACTGCTCCCACAAAGTTGGGAGCATGAAATTGACCAAAATGTCTTGGCATGCTGATGCCTTAAGAGTTCCCTTCACTGTAACTAAGAGGCCAAGCCCAACCCCTGAAAATCAACCCCCCACCATAATCCCCCCCCCCACAACCTTTACACTTGGCACAATGCAGTCAGGCAAGTACTGTTCTCTTGGTATCCGCCAAACCCAGACACGTCCCTCAAATTGCCAGACAGAGAAATGTTATTGGTCACTCCAGAGAACACGTCTCCACTGCTCTAGAATCCAGTGGCGGTGTGCTTTACACCACGGCATCCGACGCTTTGCATTGCACTTGGTGATGTAAGGCTTGGATGCAGCTGCTCGGCCATGGAAACCCATTCCATGAAGCTCTCTACGCACTGTTGTTGGGCTCATCTGAAGGCCACACCAAGTTTGGAGGTCTTTAGCTACTGACTCTGCTACTGACCACTGTCATTTTACATGGCCTACCACATGGTGGCTGAGTTGCTGTTGTTCCCAGTTGCTTCCACTTTGTTATAATACCACTAACAGTTGAGCGTGGAATGTTTAGCAGCCGGGAAATGTCACGACCCATTCTTTCACAAATGTTTGTAGAAGCAGTCTGCATGCCTAGGTGATGATTTTATACACCTGTGGCCATGGAGGTGATTGGAACACCTGAATCCAATGATTTGGAGGGCTGGCCCAATACTTTTGTGTAATATAGTGTGCGTGCGTGCGCGTGCGCACACAGTGCTATATATAGACATGCACATACATACAGGGCTATCTATCTACAGTGAAGGAAATAAGTATTTGCTCCCCTGCTAATTTGAATGTTTGCCCACTCACAAAGAAATGATCAGTCTAAAAATCGAATGTTCGGTGTATTGTAACACTGAGAGACAGAATAGCAACAAAAAATTCAAAAGAAATGCATGTCTAACAAATTATGCACTGATTTGCATGTTCATGAAGGAAATAAGTATTTGATCTTCTTCACAAAACATGACTTAGTACTTGATGGCAAATCCCTTGTTGGCAATCACAGAGGTCAGACGTTTCCTGCAGTTGGCCACCAGGTTCGCACACATCTCAGGAGGGATTTTGGCCCACTCCTCTTGACAGATCCTCTCCAAGTCATTAAGGTTTGGTGGCTGACATTTGACAACTCGAACTTTCAGCTCCCTCCACAGATTCTCAATTGGATTAAGGTCTGGAGACTGGCTAGGCCCCTCCAGGACCTCAATGTGCTTCTTCTTGAGCCACTCCTTTGTTGCTATATATACAGTATATACATACACGCACAGTGCTATATATACAGTATACACGTACACAATGCTATATATACAGTATACACGTACATACACAGTGCTATATATACAGTATACATGTACATACACAGTGCTATATATACAGTATATACGTACACAATGCTATATATACAGTATACACGTACATACACAGTGCTATATATACAGTATATACGTACATACACAATGCTATATATACAGTATATACGTACATACACAGTGCTATATATACAGTATATACGTACATACACAGTGCTATATATACAGTATATACGTACATACACAATGCTATATATACAGTATATACGTACATACACAGTGCTATATATACAGTATATACGTACATACACAATGCTATATATACAGTATATACGTACATACACAATGCTATATATACAGTATATACGTACATACACAGTGCTATATATACAGTATACACGTACATACACAATGCTATATATACAGTATATACGTACATACACAGTGCTATATATACAGTATATACGTACATACACAATGCTATATATACAGTATATACGTACATACACAATGCTATATATACAGTATATACGTACATACACAGTGCTATATATACAGTATACACGTACATACACAATGCTATATATACAGTATATACGTACATACACAGTGCTATATATACAGTATATACGTACATACACAGTGCTATATATACAGTATATACATACACAGTGCTATATATACAGTATATACGTACATACACAGTGCTATATATACAGTATATACGTACATACACAATGCTATATATACAGTATATACGTACATACACAATGCTATATATACAGTATACACGTACATACACAGTGCTATATATACAGTATATACATACACAGTGCTATATATACAGTATACATGTACAGACACAATGCTATATATACAGTATATACGTACATACACAGTGCTATATATACAGTATATACATACATACACAGTGCTATATATACAGTATACACGTACATACACAATGCTATATATACAGTATATACATACACAGTGCTATATATACAGTATATACGTACACAATGCTATATATACAGTATACACGTACATACACAATGCTATATATACAGTATACATGTACATACACAGTGCTATATATACAGTATACATGTACATACACAATGCTATATATACAGTATATACGTACATACACAGTGCTATATATATACAGTATACATACATACACAGTGCTATATATACAGTATACATACACACACAGTGCTATATATACAGTATACATACATACACAGTGCTATATATATACACACACACACAGACACACGGTCTCTATACACACACACACAGTGCTATATATACAGTACACACACACGGTCTTTATACACACACACACACATATATATACACACACACACGGTCTTTATACACACACACACACGGTCTCTATATACACACACACATACACACACACACACACACACACGGTCTCTATACACACACAGTGTCTCCTCCTCCCAATCACAGCCAGTCCTCCCTCTTCCAGCCCAGCAGCTCCATCCTTTGCTCAGTACAAACACAGTAACTGTCACACAGCCAGGGACCCTCACATGCCATCACAGCAGCAACAAAGAGCCCCCTAACTAAAAAACTGGGCGACCGTCTCCTCCAGCCGGGGGAAGATGGGCCGGCGGGGGGCTGCCCCCACCTCTCCGTTCGGTAAGTGCCTTTTTATTTTTTATTTTGTGACTGTAGGATGCTGCTTGCTTTCTGGTCCTTTTATGGTGGGCTCTGCTGATTTCTGGGGTCATTGCTACAAGACAGACTTCACACTGCAATGCTGGGCTTGCTCCTCCATTCATTGAATGGCAAAGGTTGGTTCCTATGGTGTGGGGTCTTGGGGTGGTCAGTGCACAATGCCTACAAGGGGAGGCTGACAGCTTGGCCTGTGTTCACAGCCTCAGTTTTGTCCACTGATGTCCTCAGGGCCAAGCTGTCCGGGTGTAGGACCTGCCGAAATCTCTTCTAAGCCCCCCATGCACAGCTCGTTTCGTAAGGACAATGCCTTGTGCCGCCTGAGCCGTCCCTCTCATTGTTGATGGACTGAGATGTGAAAGTTGCCAGCACCACAACAAAGCCATTAGTTGTGTCTGCTGTGCAGCCTCCTCTCTGCAGGACCTGGTACAGGCCTGGTGTATTCAGAGGAGTTCTGGGAGGACCCCAAGAGCAGGTGCAGGCAGGGGAGCTGAGGTCACATGAGAAGATGCTATTTATTTATAACCTTCCTTTCCATACATTAGCATGCTGTTGTAATGCGGAGCGGAATCCACCGACACAAATAGAGCAATCCAAGAAAAAAATGTGCAATGCCAAAATATGGTTTGGAAGGGCACATTCCACCCATAACTGATGCTGGAGAGCTAAATGAAACCCATCACAAACCTAGACACTTCACACTGATGATAAAAAAAGCAGAGGGCCCTTTCGGTAAGAGTCACTTCGAAATGATTGGTAGATCCATATCAACCTGAAGTTATAGGTGGGCAGCATAGTGGCTTAGTGGTCAGCACATCTACCTTGATTTGAGGACTCTATCTGCATGGAGCTTGCTTGGTCTCCCTGTGTTCACGTGGGCTTCCTCTGGTTTCCTCTCAAACTACAAAGACATGCAGCTAGGTTAATTGACCCCATTATGAATGTACAAATTGGCAATGGACATGTGTTATCACATTCTGCATGCT